TTAAAAATGAATACCTCTGTTTTGCATTGTGTTCATTATTACAGAGGTTCAGTCACATAATAAATGTCATGAGGGTTCTTTAAAGAGCAAGAAATATGTATCTGTTATGGCAGAATTTTTTTTATTTATTTTTTTCAAGTGGGCTGTTAAAATCTTTGCACAGCTGGAAGTTTCCTACCACACCAATTAAGTGGGTTTTGCAAACATATAAATGCACACGCAAAACACTGTCTTTGAGCCTAGTATGCATTGCATGTAAACCTGCTCAATATACTGTAGCTACCTGAAAACTCTCCAGAGCTGGATTAACGTAGGAGCTAATGGAGCTGAAGCTCCAGACTCATGCTCATGGAATAGGCTCATTGATGAAAAAAAATAACATATATATTTATTTATTTTACTACTCTTCACATGCTTTGTGCAGAGGGAATTTAGTGTGAGAATTTAGAGAGGATGCAGAGGAATACAACTTGTGTAGACTAGCTGACTATAAAATAGTTAACATGAAGCTTACTTTGCACACTGGGCAAATGTACTTACTGCTTTGGTCACTCTGCAGTGTGGCATGGCCACTTTCTGCTACATTCACTACATCCACCTTTTTCTATGTTTCAGACTGCATAACAGGAGCTTCTGTCTGCTAGTTGGAAGGGAATGAGAGGAGTGGATAAGTGAGTGCTGGGGGACACCAGGGAACTCTCCCCACAAAGTGTAGTGTTAGCTCATCATTAGACACTTTTGCGCCAAGCACAAAGTGCTGAAACAGTGCTGTCTGGATACTCCACTCTAAGTTTGCCAGCCTATGTGAATAGCAGGGAGCCTGGCGTGCGTTCACAACAAGTTTACCTACCTATTCATCAGAAAGACCCATTTCCTTTCCAGGCAGGTTTGTCCCTCTGGGCAGTACCCGTCTGTGACAAAACAAGGGGCATGTGTGGGTGCAACTGCCCCGGGTTGCCAGATGAAGAGGGTTGCCGCCACCACAGCTGGATACCCATAAGTTCTGGCTCTAATCAGCCCCCCCAATTTTCAGAAGTAATCAACTTTCATTAATGTTTTTTTCAGTATGCAGGAAATATAATAATGAAAGTTCCCATTTGGACAATGCTTATGCTTACCACTACATCTTAATGAAGTGGCTTTGGTGCAAAGCTCTGTCCCTTTTTCTCAGACAATGTAAAAAATTGCCATTTCTGTCAATACCCACAAACATTGACATTTTGCAGCAACAGCCATACATGCACCATATGTCATCAATGTTTCTTTATGAGAAACTGTAAGTTTACTTGATTTTTTTTTTAAATTTTTAAAAAGGACATCCACTTAAAAGGTGGATACAAAACTCAGAATGAATCAAGAAAATAAAAAGGAAATGGAAAATACATGCAATAATGTTGAGCAAGAAATAAAAAAGAAAACAACAAAAAGAGTATAATTGTATCGGGAAGGCAGAAGAGAAAGTGAAGAGAGAAGAGGTAAACAAACAGAAAAGAAAAAACAAAACACTTGTGCACATAAGCAAAGATTTCTGTGTACAATCAATAAGGAGGCATCTCTGCAAGATATGGATGCCATACATAACAGATCATGTCATGGGTACCAAGGGTACCATTCGGTCTTCCTGTAATTTTCCCAAAATATTGTTGGCAAGGAGACTTACGTTTTTCTTTGGTTCCTTAATGAACAATAAATTGGCATGTTGGGTACAGAAGAGTATCAGCATTTGCTGTTTCTTGCACAATGGAAATCTGGAAGATCATAGAATTTGATTGGCTGTTGACACCGGCTTTATTTTATATTTACCAGCATCTGTTAAAAACAAACTGAGAGGTCTCTATGAGGAAATTCCAGCTAATCTTTACAACAGTTGGGATACATGGATTTTGGGATCTCTTAGCTTTCCACTTCCGTGCCCCCCAGCATTCTCTGCGATGCTGCATGCTTGTACGCCCTGGAGCTTTATGGGTGGCTGCGTTCGGGAATTAAAGGCTGAACCTCGTTTGGTTCAAAGTGGTGAATTTGCCAAACCGAATGCGGCGCCCAAAAATGACGTGTGCCATGCTAAATAGGGGTTCTATCATCCAAGAATCATACTGAACTCAAGTATGACGTGGACCAATAGGAATTAAGTTATACATATAAATACTCACCTTTCCCATTCCAAGTTGCCCTGTTGTGGTTCTAGCGACCCAAGAGTGCGTTCATTTATTCTCAGATTCTGGGTTTTTGACTTTTGTCCGTTTTCTCGCTTATTCTGAACTCTGGTATCCTTTGACTTTGACTGGTTCTCGTTTATCCGTATCTCTCCTGTTCTTGACCTCAGCTTTCCAACTGACTAATCTACCATTTACCCAACCATTCTAAGGATCGGCTTACAGCTTGTCTATTTGTTGTGTTATAGGTTTGTAGGTATTGGTTTCCACACTGAGCTTGACAATGGGCCAATTATGATGCTTTTGGCATTATTAATAAAAACTAATTTATGTAAATATATTTTAAGATGACAATGTCGCTTACAAAAATTGAACCTGAGAGGGTTGTTAACATACATATATACCTAGAGAGACATTTAATATTGAGTACCTCTACCTTATATCAAGCATAATATAAAGTCGATGTTATCCAGTGCCTGTTTTGGAGTTGACCAAAGCTAAACTAGACTATTGTTGCTTAACAACTAATGCATACTAAAAGCTTTTATACATTCCATGCAATCCTTAAATAACTCCCATAATTGGAAAGCTCTTAACATCACTATGCACCATTACCTTCAGAATAACCTTTATCTATAATTGTCTGAGATCTTGTTATTTCCACTTTCAGTTGTGGTGCTTTCCATGTCCCATGAATTAATGTTTTGTGATCCATTGCACAGTTTTAGCATTTATTCATAGTTCTATTAATTTGAATAATATTTCAGTAATTCATTACCATAGGTCTATTTCTGTTACATACAAGCCAGATGGTAAACACATGCATCTAAAATGATGGAACCTGGTTAGCTGTTTGTACATTAGACAAACCTCTATATATGTTTAGTGTTACAGACTGCCATTTGTAACTGTTATTTTATTTGACAAATTGCCCTGCTTCCCTGTGTTATGGAGAAGCCTAATTGCCAGCCTTCTGCCCCATGACTATGGACCTAGTGGGTATGGCGATTTGACTGTATTTGTGGGATCTGAGCGCTGTTTGGCTATATTGAGCGCTCAGATCCAAGCCATCTGGGGATAGGTTGAATGTGGGGGTTCTGTTCAGTATGATAGGAGTTAGGTATTTATGTGTCTTTTTGTGTCTTTTGCTAACATGTGGTTAATGGAGTCTGCCTCTATCCCTGGATATAAGTGGATTATTTTCCCCATTGTCTCCTGGATAGAGGGCTCTGTAAAACCGGTTTGGGCCAGATAACCATGCTGCCAGCCAGGCCCCAAAAGATACTTTTGCTAACTTTTGAACCCCTTGTCTGATTTGTGCCATTTTTTAATATGTTGCTCCCCTGAATGGATTGATTCTAAATATGTAATTTGTATGAAGATTGGATGTATGGTTTTAAAGTTACAGGGTATGGGTAAAAACTGTACATTAGGTCCTCCCCCCTGGCCCCTACCCCTGAGCAGTGGGTGGGGGCCCTAAATTAGAATGGGGGGACATAATGTCCTCCCCCTTGGCCCCCACCCCTGAGCGGTGGGTGGAAGCCCTAAATACTAATTAGGGGGGACCTAATGTCCTCCCCCTTGTCCCCCACCCCTGAGTGGTGGGTGGGGGCCCTAAATACTAATTGGGGGGGGACCTAATGACGACCGCCACTCAGGGGTGGGGGCCCTAAATAAAAAAAATAACCCCCCCTCCCCAGGAGACAAGGGTTCCCAAACCCCTAGTCACCACCCTCCCCCAAAAAAGTTACCCCTACCTACCTCCCTCACCCTAAAAATAATGAGGGGGACCATTTAACTAAGTACCTGTAAACAAATAAAATAAAACTTACCATATGATGTTTTCTTTCTTCTAAAATCTTCTTTTTTCAGCCCCAAAAAAGGCCAAATAAAAAGCCATAATAACCGACGCACTTAAAAAAAAAAAAAAAAACGAGTGCAAAAAAAAATGATCCATCTTCACCCATGGAGGGCTCCGCGCAGACTGAGCTCTGCAGGGTGGGGGAAGGTTTGCCCCACCCTGCAATTAGGCTCAGAGCACTCTGATTGGTGGGTTTAAGCCATCCCATCAGAGTGCTCTGACAGGTAAATGAAGAGACTGACAGGTAAGTCTCTACATTTACCTGTCACAGCACTCTGATTCGTTGGCTTGAAATCCACCAATCAGAGTGCTCTGTGTCATTTTACACAGCGTGGGAAAGTTCTTTGGAATTTTGCCACGCTGTGTAATTTGACTCATAACTCTCTTATTGGTTACCTTCAGTATAGCAAGTAGGGGCATAATTTACTAATACTTAGCAATCCTTACTTAGTATTAGTAAATTTGGCTGAAAGACCAATTTAGGTCTTTCAGCCTTTTGGTAGATAACTCTCTAATACCGTTGGAATTAGGGAGTTATCTACCAAGCGGCTGCAAGAGACGTTCCGAAATTCCGAAGTTCTGAAGTGTCGAAGTGCCGAAGTTGCCGAAATTCCGAAGTGGTGAAGGTCCGAAGTGCCGAAGTTCCGAAGTGCCGAATTGCCGAAGTGCCGAATTTCGGAATGCCAAACTGAACCGAAACATTTTCCCATGCACATGCCTACTATAGATCTGATAAGAAAATCTACAACCTTACTGGTAATTATGCTGGTTTTATTTAATTAATTAAAATTAAATAATTAATTTTACTAATAGCAGGAATATATATCTGGATAAATCAATCATTAGAAATCTTAGTTAACTAAGGAATATATGATTTAAAAAATTCCATTCCTGCAGGTGGAATAAAGATAACAAAATATTAACGGTAAAATTGCTGCGTGTTAGTATACCTGTATTTTTATCCAGATGTATTGATTTGTTCTGAAATAAGATAGTGAATCTTATTTAGGAAAGTAAAAATTCGACAAATGTAAAATCTGGTAGAATTATTCTTATTGGATGGTTCTAGGAATGGTTGATGATCTGGTATGAACATTACTTTAATTGTAAAATTACAAAATAATAGGATATATTGCCTATGAGGATTGTAGCCAGCAGTGAAAGGGTAAATTCAGTGTGGTCTAACTGTCAGCTGAAGTTTTTATTGCTTTTTGCTGCACTGTTGTATTCTGTGGAGTTCTGTGTCCTGTGAAGAATTCTAAACGATCATAAATCTCTTAAATTGTCGACAATAGGTCGCTTTAGACGCTGTATTGTGTTTAAACCATTGCCATATTGTATGCCTATGTTATACTAAATATTCACTGATTATTGTCACGCATGTTACATATTATTATTATTTTTATTATTATTGTCACAATAAATTATATTTTTATAATGAAATTGTGATTTACTGTGTGAAGTAAAAATCCTCTAGCGAAACCTCCTCTAGGATCTAAGAGAATTAAAATTGTGGGTAATTCTCAGCTTTATATTATCATTTTCAGGGAAACAGTACCAAGATATCAATTTTGATATAATAAAAATTATTAAATTAGTTTTTGATAATTTTTATGAAAATATTATTTTAATATTTATCACCCCATAAATATCCTCACAGGACGTGACCAAGGCGTTTTGCATGAATCGGGTCATGAAGAGCTGGAAGAAAGGTTGTAGGCCTGACTCTCAAAGACCTATTTCCTACGGGTTGTTTGGTCAGCTCTTGTAGTTCTTGCCCCGTGTTTGTTCATCGTCCTATGATGTTCGTTTGTACCGAGTCGCGTTTGTGTTTTGGTTTTTTGGGGCCCTCCGAATAGGGTAGCTGGTGGTGCCCAGTACTCGGGTTCCGGTTACTATGCTACTATCGGACATACTGGTCACTGAGAGCGACCTGATTCTGGTCATTCATCGCTCTAAGACAGATCGGGAGGAAGTGGGTGCACGTGTTCAGGTAGGGGCTACCGGTGGTCCATTTTGTCAGGTTATGTTGCTTTGTGTGTTCCTAGCAGTACAGGGGTCAAGGGTCCGTTTCCTTCTAAAACATCAAGATGGGTCTTCGCTCAGCCGCTTTTAATTTTCTAGAGTGCTTCGGTCCTGCATGGTGGGTATTGGTCTGTCTCCGGGTAGTTACACAACTCACCCCTTTAGGATAGGGGTTGGTAGGCAGGTGAGCTTGCTGTGACTCTCTGCTGAGGTGCTTGAGCGTTTCGGGTGACGGCAATCTGGACGTTTTCAACTCTATGTGCACCCCCACCTACTGTAGGTAACCTGCTCAGCTAAGGCATGGTTGTGTGTTCTGTTATCGTTGTAGGTGTGGTTCCTCACTTCACATGGATCATGTGACACTCGTTCATTTATTGGGCAGCTATGCGGGCTGAGGATAGACCATATGGCCGTAACGTTGGCTTCTCATATGACGTAGTTCGAGGGGTATTCAGGGTTTGACTTGGGACCGTTTATATGCCAAGTTAGTTCAACTTAGTCACTGCGTGTCAGGGTCAATAACTCTAGTGGTTCATGCAGGTGGGAACCATGTTGGACGGGGATGGTCAGTGAGTCTAGTGCATGCGATCAGGCATGACTTGACGTGCTGTTTCGCGTTATTTAAGGATCTGACCCTCATCTGGTCTGAAATTGTTCCACGTCCGGTTTGGCGCAGTGGCGGGAATGGTAGGGCATTGGAGCGCTGTAGGCGAAAGGTGAACATGACCATTTCCGGTTTGTTAGGCATTTGGGTGGCATGGTGGTTAGGCACATTGAGCTGGAAGGGTTGAATGATAATGTTATGCGACAGGATGGAGTGCATTTGTCCCCCATAAGTTTGGACATCTTTAATGTGGGCCTGCAGGCAGGGATTGAGGGTGCGCTATTTGTGTGAAGGCGCGATGCTTGTGCGGCTTAGGCATCGTGTGGCGGGATTTTCGTGGACAGCGCAGTTGAAAATGGCACGTTGGGGAGACAACAGCCTGCACTGAGCTGATGGTGAGTACCTGGCTGTTGGGACTTGTGGAACACAAGTTTGGGGGTAACTGTCTATTGGGCAACCACCCAACAGCTGTCAGAGTTTGGACATTGTTTACAAAATTGGTTATGTTAAATAAAAGCTGTGGCTGTTGCCCTTTTACACTATAAGAATGTGTCATGTGTGTTATTAGGGGGCAACGTTGGGGGGACTTGTATGGGTCAGCAGTCATGACGTCTAATTTAGTGTGCATTGATCTAAATATGTTACTGGAATGTTTTGATCTAATCACGATCCTGATAAGTTCTATTTTAGTTTTAATTATCATGATTTAACATAATGGATGTGGGTGTGTTTTGGTGAGCGTGTTTTTTTTTTTTTGGGGGGGGGAGTGGGGCGCAACATTTCATCCTTGAACTCAGGCAGCACAATGTATTGGGCTGGCCCTGGTCCTTGCTGCCCTCTGCTTATCGTGATCAGCTCTGCCTAAGAAAACATAATGCTGTCTCTATCATACATGGAACAGACTGTATTTGTTAAAAATGAAAAAAAATGTAAAAAGCCAGACAGCCTTTCTTTTGCAAATAAAAGAATATATAAAAGAAGAAATTTCTTAACAATTTAGAGAGAATATAATTTTAAAAAGGTGGTGAAAAAAAAGAGCTCAGCTGAGAAGGTATGTTTGTTTGTGATGCTTTATTGAGCAGACGTATTTGTTCACTCCAGTATATAATTAACTCAGAATATGTTTCTTGGAAGCTTTGTGTTACAGTAAGGTAGGGATCGTTACATTTCTTATTTGCAAAGTAATTTTTTTTCGGTGTGACAATTTTCTGGGGAAGTATATTGTGTGTATTGCTGAGCAGAGAAAAGTCAACGGCAAGATTAATAATATTTCACAGAATGCCCAACAAAATATTTTACATGATAATATATATATATATATATATATATATTAGAAACATAGAATGTGATGGCAGATAAGAGTCAATGACCTTATCTTATAGCTAGGTGATGTGGAATCAATCAATTAATTGATTATCTTGCATATCTGCCCACGGCCAAATTTAAAAAGATGCGTGCACGCTGTAATTCACACCAGACACAGGTTTCGGTTTAATGAAAAACTTGAGGAATGTTTATTCTGGGGGGACAGCATGCCCCTTATAAAATTACATCATATGCATTGTCAGAGATAACATGGAATAATACATCAATAATTGGTTAGGTGTTAAGTGGTTCATTTAGTGCCCTTCCTACCGGGTGTGATGCCACTGGTATCTTGGAGGTCTCCCCCAGATTCCAGCGCCATCTTGTTAATGAGGGTGTTAGTCGATGTCAAAGGGAAACTCCCTAGTGGCCATTTTAGGTAAATCACATATAAGGTTGAATAATGCTGATTGTGGTTATGCTGAGTAAATAGGCATTTTATTGATATGAATTGGGTTAATATTTTTGTCCACAACACTAGGGTAGCCTTATGCCTATCCCAAGCATGCTTAAACTCCTTCACTGTGTTAATCTCTACCACTTGAGCTGTAAGGCTATTCCATGCATCCACTACCCTCTCAGTAAAGTAATACTTCCTGATATTATTTTTAACCCCTTAAGACCGCAGGGCGTACTATTACGTCCTCTAATAGGCGGCTCTAAACGCCGCCGGGCGTAATAGTACGCCCTCCGGTCTTTCTGTACTTACCCGGTCGCCGGCGGTCCCACGCCGGCGATCGCGGTGGGGGGGACTCCCAGGGAGCCCCCCGCAGCACGACCGTCCTCCAGGAAGCCCCCCGGCCGTGTGAGAGTGGGGTCCTAGCGAGGACCCCACAATCACATGGCCGGGTATAGCTGGCTTCTGTATTGCCAGCAGGGGGGCTGCCTGTAATTACAGGGGGTCCCCCTGCTGGCTGAAAATAAAAGTAAAATAAGTTAAAAGTGTAAAAAAATAAAATTATATATACTTAGATCATATATATATATTATATATATATGATCAAAGTATATATATACACATATACATACACACATGTACACCGTCTAGGTGTATTTTACTATTAATATATATATAATTATATATATATATTAATATCAAATTACACGTAGACTGATACTGATTAAATATATATATAATTATTGTTATATATATATTTATATATATTATAAAAAAAATTAAAATGTAAATACGTTAAAAAATAAAATTACAAAAATAATTAAAAATAAATAATTAAAAATATATAGATGTGTGTTATTTCGTTCTAACTGTATTGTGAAATTAATATATATATATATATATCAAAATACACATAGAACGAAATAATATATATATTTATACACATAAATATATACGTATATATCACTATATATATACCTATATATAAATAAAAATATTTTAAAAAAATTATATAGATATATACATATATATACACATACGTATATATATACATATATTGATTCTACATATATATTTATGTAATATTTTTACATAATTAGGTATCTTAATTAATTACAATTAGCAGGACCTGCATGACAACCCATGCCGAAAGTAAAGGGAATTTAATTTGCTAGCACTATATTTAACCCTATAACTTTCCGAGACACCATAAAACCTGTACATGGGGGGTACTGTTCTACTCGGGAGACTTCGCTGAACACAAATATTAGTGTTTCAAAACAGTAAAATGTATTACAACGATGATATCGCCAGTAAAAGTGACGTTTTTTGCATTTTTCACGCACAAACAGCATTAAACGGACAATATTATTGCTATGATACTTTTTACTGTTTTGAAACACAAATATTTGTGTTCAGTGAAGTCTCCCGAGTACAACAGTACCCCTCATGTACAGGTTTTATGGTGTTTTCAAAAGTTACAGCGTCAAATATAAGGCTTGCGTTTCATTTTTTTCACATTAAAATTCGCCAGATTGGTTACGTTGCCTTTGAGACCCTATGGTAGCCCAAGAATGAAAATTACCCCTATGATGGCATACCATTTGCAATAGTAGACAACCCAAGGTATTGCAAACAGGGTATGTCCAGTCTTTTTTAGTAGCCACTTAGTCACAAACACTGGCCAAAATTGGCATTTTTTGCATTTTTCACACACAAACAAATACTAACGCTAACTTTGGCCAGTGTTTGTGACCAAATGGCTACTAAAAAAGACTGGACATACCCCATTTGCAATACCT